GAATTGCATCTATTTCAGTGTAAGTTATATGACTACCTTTTGAAAATACACTTGTGAAGATGTAAACCCAGGGACTGTATTCCTTGAATGAAGCCTGGAATTACTGCATCCTGGAATGCGAACGTGTTTGAAACGAACTCAATTTATTTTCTATGTTCAATCGTCAAGGTAGTGTATGTTTCACCAGTAATGACATATATCATTCAAACTTCATATTGTGAAGTATCTGCGGGTACAATCACTGCGAAAAATTAGTAAACAGATAAGAGCTGTATCCATGGGGATCCACTGTCATAAATGAAAGGGAGAATGACAAACAAAGAATAAATGGAATTTAATTGGTGGATGGTAACTAGCTGTGGATTCCAGGATACGGAGTTCGTCCTATTTGATACTCGTCACTGGATGTACCTGCATTCCCCAGTGAGTGATGATGTTCCAACGAATTAAATTCTAATTACATGCCATTCTGGCTTTGTGCGTCGGTGGCATAGCGGTTAGGACGCTCGCCGACCATGTACACGGTCCAGGGTTCGGTCCCCAGCCGATGCACTCCTTTACCCCACTAAATCAGTAGTAAGACTGGTAAATAGGGAAGGTTGGGTATGAGGCTAGCAACCCCATCCTATAAAAATAAAAACACTGCTACAGAATCTTCAAGCCTCTAGCTTGAGGCCCTATGTTCCACTGGGAACGTGAAGGAATAAAAAATAACATGCCCAGACATAGTCAGAGCGTCTGCACAAGAAGGCGACATGTCAAACTGAGACCGAGCCCTTCGGTCCAATCAATCGACGGGAAAATATAAATTCAATTTAAAAGATAAATGGATTTGAATAAAGTCCGTTCAACAATGAGTGATCTGTAAATAAAGCATATACAACACACACTGTTTAAATATAAGAAGATATTGTCATACATAAAAGAGAACAATCGTATACTAGGCTAAATAAAAGTCGATAGCGAAGAATAACACCTATGCTTTTCGAGGAACCACATATAAAAGCATACTACTCCTTATTGATAAGTAGTACGAAGCTCAACAGAAAAGTGTTACGAAATATGGATAAGAGTGGAACATGCAACTCGTTTATTATCCTAAAAATAGTATATCTTGTCACGTCCTGTTAACTAATCAACACGCATCATTTCAAATTCTTAGTACAAATAGTTCCTATCGGTTATTCTCTTTAAGGGAGAACATATTAGGACAAATCAATAATACCATGTATATTTTTCAGTAGTGCAGATTGTAGCTGGTGAAGAATATTCCACGAAATAATCAAGAATGACATAATACTATCCTGATTTGTTCAAATACGCAAAAATTTGTTTCCACAAACGTCTTAACATCAAGCTATCTTTAATTCAGTTGTTATGCTCACCCTTTTTATATTTTGGATACTGATCATAGTTTTGAACGTCGCGCCTATCGTTTCAAACTCTATAGCATTACCTTCTATGTCATAGGAGCCGGCTGAAGTGTGCTGAATAGGAAGTGTTCATCCTGGATTCCACTGCTTGTCATCATCAAACAAAATAACTACAACAATCACTAGATATCATCAAAACATTTGAAGTAAAAGCCAGCATGTCAGCAGAGACCCTGAATTTCTCTACTTATTAATCAATCAAATGAAAATACAGATCAAATAAAAGAGAATTTATTATCAATTCGCATTATTAGTCAGGCACACTGTGCGGTAAAACTTCGTTCCAAAAAAGGGATTATGTAGTTTTGCCAAATTAGAGGAGGGGTTAATATCAGTTTACGAAAGGGCAATTCCAAAATTTCAAATGTGGATTTTATGTAGTCTTGATTGCGAACCCAACCCTTACTCCTACAATTCGTTAACTTTCGCATTCTGCCTATTATTCTGTATTGTTCCCCCTTCGTTTTTCCCGGGCTACTGAAGAAAGACTATAACGTATTACGCAGGATGTTAAAGGTTGTCAGCAGGGTAAGCAACGAGCCACCTAACCAGCTTGTTGATATTCTGGTCAACAGGCACATGGACTCATGTGAAAAATGGGCCAAATCCATTTTATCTAACTCACACCACCTTCTTCACTCACAACTCTCCCCTTGCATCTCATCAGGCAAAACCAGGAGCCTATATAGAAAATTATATGCTCGCACCAGCAAGTACAAAAACTCAACCTTACCCTACTTAGCTCGTGTTCTGTGCGATAAAGAAAGCATTAGGCGTGTCACCTATAATTCATTAAATAGTCAGTAGTACAACTGGACCTCGTCTTTCCAACTCATATCATTTATAGGTACAACATTTTCTTTGTCTCTCTTTTCTACTGTTATGTGCTGCTTTGTTTCTTTCTTCCGCTTACGCCAGTAAATATGATAGCACCTACTTTTCAAACACCTTCAAACACTGTTCAACTTTGGCTTTTGCTATCGATATGCCAATATGTTGTTTGTCATAATGAACTGAGATTTCCTTAATCTATGTAGAATTCTATTTATTGATAATGTACTAACTGGATGCAATACTGTAGTAAAAATGCTGAGAATTCCATTCTGTATCACATGTATTGTTTTGGAATAAAGCAAATTATTATTATTATGAATAAGAGATACTCCAGTTCTCACGCTGAACATTCAACGAGCTGACTGTTTTTACCACAGTGATCAATTGAACTTAAACAATTATTATCGTAGAGGTACAAACAAAGGTGAACACGTTTAACACCACTATTTATTTATTGTATTTATATTCCATTGTTCTACGAATTCACAGTTTTTCATCAAAAAGCATAAATACTAATTGTGAAAATATTACAAATTATTAAGTATATTTCAGTAATATACACGCAACGGTAACTACTTTGTGTTTTTCTGTAGAAAAAACCACTGTACTGTAATTATAATAAATTTGTTATTATTACATGATGTTTTTCACAAAGTGAACTGAAGACTTCGGTCAAAGGTATCTTCAAACAGTTCACCACAACTTCAAAGCACTACGAATCAAAATCTAAGGAGTGAGTTGAATAAATCTGTAAATAGTTGATTGATTTTTTATTTGACTCATATAACTACTGGTCTTCGATGCCATTATATCACCATTAGAGTAGTTCACTCCTTATGATTTATCGCTAGTATCTTTTTCGTGTGATTATTGAGAATTTCAAAGTCTGTATTCATCGTATGATCTTACATATTAGAACTTCATGAATCCATAGTTTATGAGGCTTGACGGTTGATATCTTTCTGTGAACATTGATCAGAATATCAGTAAAATGGTACTTCATCAATGAAAATATTTTTGTTTACAATTCTCTATTTAATTCTGTCATCCATTTGGTAAAAATGATATTTCAAAAAAATATGGAGACATCTCAACATGCCTTGATCATTATAACACAATACACTAGTTATTATTAACTGCTCATCATCCTCCATAGATAACCAGTATTCTGAAAATGTCACATGCATGAGTAGCTTTTTATGCAAGCATCATTATAACGTCTTCAAATGTCTGCTGTACACCGACCTGCTTTCTTATGTTTTCACTAGTATTTTCATTATTGGTTCTGTGAACACTATTAAAATTCCATACACCTGCATATTTGTTTCCAGTTTAATACTTTCAATAATTGAATATCAACATGGTCCGTTTATGTTGTCCTGCCTTCCTCATAATTTTCACTCATAATGATTTTGTTCGTGATATCTAATTCAATATTATATCAGAAGCATTTCATCAAATTGACTTATGTCTCCTACGTGTGTATATATGTTCACCTGGAATTGTTATGATCGCATTTGTACTTCACTTGGATATGAATGAGACCGTTTCTTCCTCAGAGCTTATTTGATGTCAAACATCAACTAAAGAAGCAACTCGTGAGAAACACAGGGTTTTGTCTTCCCCTGGCATCGTAGAAAGATAAATTCACTTTAATTTCAATTTCATTCATAAAACAGTGTGCATTGAAAGCGAAGTCAAACTGATTATTCAGAAAACATTTATTATCCGTCTACTTGATGGAAACTGTAAGATCAGTTACTGAACGGTCTAATGAAGTTGACAAACATACACTCACTATGGAACTGGCACAAAACGGGACACAATTTCAATGGCAAACACATATTCAAGCGCGAAATATTGCTTTCCATATCCTGTTTTCAAGTTTTAGTTTACTGTAGTGTTTTTGTATCAATGATTCCCTATTTTATTAGTATATTCATCGACTTGTGTTCCGCAATTGTACCCACAATTGTGAGTACCTTGATTGTGTTCTTCAAATATGGAAAAATAAAACATGAAAAGGACTCACTGTAGACAGTAAAACTTCTTGAGTAAGCAGTGAATTCTCTCTGATCAGATATTATGACACCCGAATCTGAAGGTAGTCAAATGTTAACGAGCAGTTTCCACTAGAAGATTTTAAGTTTTAAACAGTCATTCAAAGTCAAAATGATCCTCAGGGAATGCAGAATTTGAATTTATCTTAATCTGTGTAGCTGACTGCGCTTATTAAATCAATGTGGGTGAAGGTATATTAGTAGTGTATTTTGAGATACACTGAAGTAACTTGACCGAATATGCATTGAAACTTGCAGAATTTCAATTGTCCTTTACCTTAATTACGATCCTAGAAAGAATGTTCACCCTACAAAACAGTCATTTTGAATATTCATCCATAAAAGTATCATTTTACACATAATTCATCCTGAGACTAATTAATATTTTGCAGATATTTGAACTGTCTAAGGATTACTTATATCCAGATATCTGTCCAGACATTTTAAGTACGTGTCATCTTTTATAGGAGGCTTTGTGAAACTCAGAGTGATCGTCAATCTTAAAAAATCGGGATTCATGCAATATCGTTATTACGGAAACCAAAAATTCAGCAAAAATGTGTTCTTCTGAAGAACTTGTTGAACGGAAATAAAAGTGGAAGATTTGGTGCAAAAAGATTATGTTATATTAAATATTTCAAATGTCCGCTGTCGTACATTAAATCAAAAACATCGTCACTATGGTATGTATTTCAACACAGCTCATGAATCATGATCGTGAGTGTCATCCGATTTTCAGGTCATTTGAGGAAGCTGGCTAAAAGCACAGCTAACTAAAAGAAAAGACAAAAACAAATATGACAGCATTTTTAAAATTCCAATGATGATTTGCTGAGTGGAGAGCTTTTCATGTTTCACAATGATGAATAAAGTGATTAGTCAATCCAGATTGAGATATGGTGTAAAAGTTGTAATAATTTTACCCATATCATACTGTTGAAATGCTTATCCGAATGCAGCGAAGGGGTTCAGGCTTTATCGTTTAAGTTTCAGAAGCATTTATGCTTAAATTAAATGAGGTAGGTTTGATAGCAGCACGCCTAACCTACGCTCTTTCTTGAGCTTACCATTGAAGAAAGCAATCGAAATCAGACCGATGTGTATGGTAAAGGAGCATTCCACTGCTGAATCAACGACTCACTACCTACGTCATGAAGTCTCGTAAATTGAATCTTTCTTTTAAATATTCTTCGTTTCTTGAAATCAATTAACTGTTGCTTAGTTCGAGTGATAAAACGTTTTCACAAATTGAAGATATTAGTGCTAACTTACCAAATCACCTGCAGTGTTCAAAATGCCACCGGCCAACTCAATCGAAATAGGCTGAAATATGTTGAAGTGAATGACAATGAGAATTTGAGTTAAAATTCTAAGAGATTGAATACATATTTCAATTCGTAATAATTGGGGAATAAAATCAATGCCACTAAATGGAACAGGACTGCATTATGTGTATGTATTAAAGCGGGGAATTTCAGGTGAGCAGTTCGACGAAATAGGGAGTACTGAATCTTTCATTATGTCACACTTCAGCGTCACTTTTCTTAGCAACATGTGATGCAATCGTCGCACACCAATGATTATTTTCATCATCATTTTCGAATAGACTGAGATTATTGAATTGCTGGAAAAGCACTCCAACCTGATTCCCTCTGATATGTCAGTGTATACTTGCCTGACCTCAAGAATATAGAGACTAGCAAATAACTGAAATTCCGTATGGGAAATAAACACATCACAATAGTTCAAGAGATGATTACAGGAGTAAATGTGAAGATGGAAAATTTTACTTGGTATTTCACTTCACTTACACCTAACCGTCCAACATAAATCGTAGATAAAGCAACCACAAAACAAGCCACTGAAATACACAATATTGCAATTGCTACTCCTTTTTTGAATCTTCTAGTTAAGGAGCAGAAGATAATCGTCAAGAAGTCTTCGAGAATAACGAAGCCAATTAAAATATAACACGGCTGTCTGAAGTTACAACACATCAGAATGATTTGCGCTGACCACAGTAGAACCTATCGGTAAAAACATCGGTGAAATGGTGAATAGCAATAAAAAATATTTTCTTCATAAAACTGATGTATAATCTCAATTTCATGTGAAATAACAGCAAAGTTTGCTTCAAATAAGTTGAACTGAACAATTATTATTATCTCAAAAACTAGTAACTATCAGCACCAAATTGGAGAACCACGTTTCGTGCTTCTTTTCTCCCGTCACCGCAGCAATTCAATATGCCCAAAGTAACTGATATTACCTCAAGGATTCAGTTGCACAATTTTAGATGTACGATTGGAAGTTTAAGCTACCATAGAACAGGAATGCACGAATGCAGTATGTCTAGCTCCAAATTAGCTGACTCAATTCAATCACACAAATTTGCTAGCCTTAAGAAATCCCATTGAAGTTTCTCATTACAAAACGCTTACAATGATTACTTTTGGAGTGGAATTATACGCGGAGAATGATGATGCATTTTGAAGTACTGAGTAACCGTTAGAATGCAGCCGAAATTTGAATCATGTGGTCAAACTCCGAAAGCTGAAAAAACGTTGACACTGGTCAAGTAATTCCCTTAAATGAACATTCAAGCAAGAAGTGAAATATCCACGAAATCAAGAAATTTGATGTACTTCTTCGAGTTTATTTGAGCTTCCATCTATGATTATAGTATTTTCATCATTAAAATATGCGAAGCTTTCAATGGTCAGCACAATGTTTACTTATTCTGTATTAAGTAATTAACATTTTAACATTACTTTGGTAAATGGTATACGCCACAAAAGATTATGGTAAAGATCAAAAATGTTTCCTTGGAAATCCTTCACTTCACAGTATTTACGTTTGAAAATCTCATTACAAGAAGGGTTTCGACTTTCAAGTAACTGGCACAGAAGACATGAAATGATCATGAGTAGATGAAGTCAACTCATAACATTGATGCTTTTCAAAACTTACTATTATTCCTATCAGGACCAATGCGACTGATAATTTAGTTCTGAATTTGAAAAGCAACAATAAAATAAGCAGCAGATTCAGTGCTCTGAAATGGGAATAGAAACAAGGTTTGATGAGCTCAGAAATCTGAGAAACAGTTATATATGTGTAAAAGTTAGAAACTGTTAGTGCATGTTTCCATATCAAATTCTATGATTAGACGTATCACGCAGAGATTCTATTCTAAATTGGATGAAGTATCGGACAGAAATGATTGCTCATTTACGCACAGCTTCACAGTCATCATCCACTGATGGTTTTAGATCTTCCTGAGAGTATTTGTTTGCAATAAGTAAGACAGAATCTCCCACAAATCCAGAACTATTCCCAGTATACATAACGTTGCAAATTAATGCACTCGTTATCCTTGCATTGGTGCAGTACCTTGTTGAAGACAAAACGAATTCGTTACAGTGAATATTTTAAAATCGCATTCCAAATTAAGTTCATTTTGTTACAGTTTCTTGAGTATCTGTTAGTCAGTAATCTGATGAATCATTTTCAGTCTGACTGATTGACTGTTTGTCCGCTAATGTTGATTAACGACACGAAGCTCAATGTTTGTCTTGAAAAGCAGGGTTTTATGTCGTCATCACTGCTTCTGTTCATGTTGTAGTTAGCAACTCATTTGATACAGTATCTTTATTCTCTAGATATAGGTACGCGGATTAGTACTCAATAAAAGACATATCGACACAGATACAACTTGTCACCCAGCCAATGTGACATGGTGTTAAGCCCAGATATCAGTCCAACGACATGATTAGTAATAATACAGGTGATTAGAAGGATTAAAAATACTCTGAAATAAACAAACACCATCTAGGTGATCATGCGAGACACTCACATTGTTCATGTAGAATTATAAATTGTCACATCAAGTTGCATTCGAAGATGAAGATGTCGTCCGGGTGGAATTTGAAGTACTAGCAACACAATGACCAAGTGCAAAGAACATAAGAACACCTACTATATTCACATGAGCCATAAACCTTCTACGTAATTTTATCCGCATCTCGAGTCAGAGTATATAGATAGCCCTAATGCGATATGATGGACTATGACGCTTGAATACGCCACATATCCTAATAAAATAATGAATACGTAAAGAGAAACCCATATGACATCAGATTTATCATTTCAATCGCTAGCTGACTTGAGTCCATGGCTCTCGTTCTCCGTGGCTGGACGTTACAATTTTGAGATAATCAGCAGTTGATATAAATGTACGGACAATCATCTACTACCATTAGTTTTTATTTGAAAGGTAACAGAAACTCAGACTTACAGACACGCGACTGCTGCATAATCTTGCCACTCGAATTCAATCATTTCTCTCACCTGAATAATTATAGATTCATTAAATATAAGTCATAATTCATAATATTTACAGATAATTTATACCAACTTAATTGATAAAGCCGTCATAAAATGCTTGTTGTTCGCGATGGTTACAGACTGCGAAACTTTGAATTTACACGAAACCCATGGATCGTGATGTCACACTTTTCAACATGAATGTCCCATGCATAAAGATTTTAAGCGATGCCATATGAGGCCTTCATGACAATTTCACATCCTACGAAACACACATTACCTAGAATCCATATTAAACAAGCAAATAATAAAATTCAAGAAATTCCTCTTAATGTAACTATCGGTATATTTAAATGAAAACATAGCAACCCTTAGTGAGTGAATTAAACATTTCAATTTACCACAACGAGGCTCCCACTAAATGCTGCTCACGTATGTTACATATTCAGAATGTTAATGAGCAATGCGGTTTGATTAAACTCTTTCAATCCGTGTTCATTTATGTTCCACTTTATTTTAATAAAATTTATTACATAGGAAACCAATAAAACAAATAATGAAAAATAACAGAAAAGAATTTTCTTCCAAATTAACATTTCCCTGATGTTATGATCACTGACATCAAGTATTGAACCTCATAAACCAAGATATCATAAAATTCGAAGACCTAAGATTACACGCAGAATGAAGCCTTTGAGATATGGAGACCAATCACAAAAAAACGATACTAACGACAAATCTAAAGAAATGAACAGCTAACCTGTAAAACGAAAGCCATCTAACACTCAATGTTATAGAGTCGTTTAAACAAATGCTAAATTATCATGTAAATATATCCATTTCATTCTGTAAACTTTGATTCTTTTTACACTTATGTTGAAGTGTTAAATAATTTCAAACAAAGTTTTCTTTATTTATGAGCCTAATCAATTTTTTCGCATGTATAACCAAGTAATGCTTAAGATAACGACTTAATGATTTTTCTACTTTGAACCGTGTAGTTTGATTTGATGAAAAGCGGTGAATTCATAGAGCAACGAAATATGAAAGGAAACGAAAATTTTTGAGGTCAACTAACCTCTTCGCTTACTGTGGATGTTTGTAGGATGATTGTGTTCGACATCGTCAATGCGTTTAGTTTCACCTAGATTCTATGAGGAACAGTTTGGACTCTACTCTGTGGATATCTTTTGGTAAAGTGAGGCTTAATCTGGCTTCTGTCAGAGATTCACCTGGAATATTTACTATCACTTTTTGTTTTTTGAGTTGCTATGTGAACATAGAAGATAACTGTGTTTGTTGGTTTTTCTCCTTCTTCATTCTACTTTGAAAGCGTATAAATTGATGATGAAAATTTAAACTAAAAATTGTAATGCTTGCATTTTGGATGCGTCAGTTTAAAAGTATTTCTTCTCTACTACCAATTAAACATTTAAGTATGTTATTATCATCTATATAACCATTTTAATTTCAGGTAGTCTGCAGCTGATGAGAACCTGTGAAATAGAATGATATCATTTTATACTGCAAAACTGGTCTTTCCTTCTCTATCGAAATTTATCAAAGGAACCAAATGTAACAAATATCATCACCTTGCTTGTCCAGCAAGATAAAGTTTATTTTGGAATTCCAGCATAAAACTTTGGTTCATTAACGTTATCTCAATAACAAGAGCCTGTAAATTTTTTTGATCAGTTGATGCATACAGTTTTAAGCCACAGAATCGTGAACATAAAGATAAGGTGGATGAATTTCAAATACCTTTCCGTGTGAGCAGATGAAATACATTCAATATGTTACTGAGTATTTGAAGACAATCATTGGTAAGCCCTGGACGTAGTATTGTATTTACTAACACAAGTCATACAAGTGTATCTCCAACTCGCTCATTTGAATGTGCAGCTAAGCTGAAAACATTTGGCGAATTTTAGAAACTAAAGCATATTGCATTGGAGAAATAAACAGACATAATTGATCAAGACAGCTTCAGTTTACACTAGTGCTACTGCTTAATGAATAAAGACGAAATCTTATTTTCAGAAGAACACATACAAATAGAAAAGGCAAAGTGAAGTATTTTGTAGGTGTCAGCAATGAAATACTCCTGCTCCCTTCAATATTTCTTGCTATCGAGATCCGTATATGTGATACTGATTTGTGACCATGGCCACACACAGACAGCTTCTGATAATTAACTTATCAACATTATACGCATTTTACGATGCGTATTTTGAAGTAGTCACACAACAGTAACCAAGTTAATATAAACTGTGTATCTGTCTTATTATAAAAGTTTTTGTATTTCTTGATGATTGAAAAATGAAACGATATTGTTTTCACTGACGTGTCGCTATCTATCATCACTTATAACTTCATAAAAGTACTATGAAACCAGAATGTCAGCTTATGCACAGTAACTTAATCACCACTCTTCAGCATGTGGTTATTTGTACGTTGTCACATTGGTCAGTTGTTGAGGATAACCATGTAAAGAATTACCACTGAATGCCTTGTTTTCGTCTTTGATGTATCCATTCAGCCAGCTATTATCAATGACTAAATATCACATGACCTGGACGCAGGAGATCAATCTCTGCGGCCTGCTGTATGGTCGACGACAGAATACCTCAACGGCAGAAAAAAGACAATTGTAATGGAATCAGCAGTACCATTCAATAATGATAACATATAAAAAGGCTAAATTGACTCAGTAGTGCCATTAGTCAGTCACACAGACGAAATTAGGTCTCAGTCACAAAACAAGTACCATACAACAAAATGAACTGATCGAAATCAACTATAAGGAGTACCCGAGAATCAAGAAAAATTTTCGCAACAAGGTGTGAACGAAACTCTCTCCACAAGACTCACACATCAAACAGTTCTCACAGACAGTATAGCGTCATAATGATATTGACTCAGTCAAACGAATTTGCAGTGGTTATCACAACCTACCCGGTTTCGCTGCATGTTTCCATGTGAATTGACATTTTTATGCAAATTTCTCCTTAGATATTTTTAGGAATATTTTCAAAACTTAATCAACACCACGTAAGTGTGTTTAGATTTTTACCTAAATTTGACATTGCTGCATTTCCACCTCATCCACACCTACATGCTACGCTTTCTTTCTCAGAAAGATCAACAAGAACTCTGATTCTTTCAATGTGAAAGTCAACAAACTCATGAAAACACCTAACCATTACATTCTGAAAAAAAATTGTCTCACACAAATAAAACTGAAAGTTCTAGTGCATAATCGACAATTTATTCAAAATATTGGAAATGTGAACTATCATTCGCCCATACGAAATTGATTGAATATTTTTGTACCAAAACGTGAATTACACTGAAAATTGCGCAAGACGATGCAACGGAACCTTGTAATGTCAGAGTTATTTGAGGAAGCTGGCGAAAATCACAGCCACCTGAAATAAACGAAACAACAAATATCACAACAGGAATGCACCGAGTTTCAATTACATTAATGTCATTTTATTGATTCGCTGAATGGATAACATTTCGTCGTTTAAATATATAAATAAAATCAGAAGTGACATCTATATGGAATATGATTAGAAAGTTTGTGGCAACTTCGCCTACAATACGAAGCCTCGTCAACATAAATTGTTGTTCTCTTCAATACTCTTTATGTATTCAAATGATTTTTAGCTCAAATCGGACAACAAATAATTCGTTTTCATAAAAGCTCGAAGAAAATGTG